TAGTGTTGTAACTAGCAGTCCTAGTCTCCAGGAGGTTTCCTAGTCTAGCGCCACCTCCTGTGATCGTGCCCTGCATATAGGGCTGACTCCTTGTATATGTAACCATCAGCCGATTGGCATTGTAACACGAGATCCATAATCCAGTTTGTACCACCAATTAACACAACGATACAAAACCAGTTTATAGGAAACAATAAGATGGAGTGCTGGACGTGCGAATCTGATTTATATCTAACAACTCGTACAAGATAACAAAGTCGATTTCATAAAATGACGCAATCCAAATATACACTTGACATGTAAAGTGATCAGTGATAAGTCATATCGACTATCCAGGTCAGGCTTCATCCGACATCTAGACGATATCTGTTGAAAAGTACTTTTGATTATTATCCAAGATTGGACTTGTAGCGCCACCTAACACAAGAGTCTAGGATGATTAGTTTGAAAAGCACGCAACAGCTTTAGCAAAGCAACCTAGGGATGCAATGCAAAATATGATGAGATGGTAGCTATAAATGGGCTGCACCATGAAGACCATCCTTCATCACCCTTCACACAAACGTAAACATCGAAGCAAGCTTGTAGCCAACCACCATGAAGACCATGTTCATCCTCGCTCTCATTGCCCTCGCGGCGACCAACGTCGTTGCGCAGTTGGACACTACATGTAGCCATGGCTATGGGCAATGCCAGCAGCAGCCGCAACAGCAGGTGAACACATGCGCTGCTCTCCTGCAGCAGTGCAGCCCGACACCATATGTCCAGTCACAGATGTGGCAGGCAAGCGGTTGCCAGGTGATGCGGCAACAGTGCTGCCAGCCGCTGGCCCAGATCTCGGAGCAGGCTCGGTGCCAAGCTGTCTGTAGCGTGGCCCATGTCATCATGCGACAGCAGCAAGGGCAAAGTTTCAGTCAGCCTCAGCAACAACAAGTGCAAAGTTTCGGTCAGCCACATCAGCAGGTTCCGGTTGAGATAACGAGGATGGTGCTTCAGACCCTTCCATCGGTCTGCAGCGTGAACATCCCGCAATATTGCGCCACCACCCCATGCAGCACCATCTTTCAGACCCCCTACAACATCCCTATGGCCGCTACCTGTGTTGGTGGTACCTGCTAAAATCGGTGTTGCGCTGACTAGATCGATCACCATTTAGTTTAGATGATGGATGAAGGGTGAAAAATAAAATAAAAGTGCCATACATCATCATGTGTGGCCAGTGATGTTGCAACATAGAAATAAGAAACCTTTGTTTCTGAATAAAGCTTTTGTCTGAATAAAATTGCATGTTTTGCATGATAAATGAGATCATAGAAGTATCTCACCTTATTGACCTTCTTACATGGCAAAGTTACGGCCAGCCTCCGCAGCACGTTCAGTTTGAGATACTGAGGATGGTACTTCACAGCCTTCTGCCAATGTGCAGCCTGTACACCCCAGATTACTGCATTACCGCCCCCTGGAGCAGCATCACTCCACCCTCTCTACAGCATGACTGTGGCCCCTACATGTGCTGGTGGTGGCTGCTAAAATCTGTGTTGTGCTAGCAAGGTCGATCAGTGTTCAGTTGATCGATGAAGCGATGATAAAATACAGGTCCCATGCATCATCTTGTGTGGCCAGTACTATTGCAACTTCGAAATAACAAACATCTGCTCCTGAATAAATTTGTTGTCCAAATAAAATTGCATGTTTTGCGTGATAGATGAAATCTCAGAAGCATCTGACCGAAATGGACCATCAATCTATTGTATGCCTCCCACTAAATCAAGATAAATTCAGAACACGAAAGGAGAAGTAAAAGAGCAGCACAAGGCACATATGGAGAGAGACCAGATCAAACAACACACGGCCACAAACATGTGTGAGCAATATATAAAGAGTTGCAGATTTGAAACAATGTTGACATATTCACTATGTGCTTTCTTGTTCAATCATAGAATTAATGTCAACCAAGCTGCTACATAAGAAGTCGATTAATCCCCATAGAGCCACTGCAGGATGATCACTTCCTGGAGACAATATAGATACATATTATTGTGCATAATACATTTGCAAAGTCAAGAAACCATGGAAGTTACAAAACCTAGTAGATATAACTGAATAATATCTAAAGGCATAAGATATATTTTCATAATTTCACTCCTAATTATACTTTTTTTGTATGCCACATGTTTGTATTTTTATTTCGTATATATGAATGGATATTGGCACACCCACATATTTTATTTTACTGTTTTACACCATCAGGAAAAACCTTATACTCTAGGGGTGGTTTATTTTCCGTGAAACAAATGAAATCTATGACACATCTCACTGAATTGAACAATCATCATACTCTACATGGCTCCCAATTAAACCAAAATTTCACAACATGAAGATAGGGACGGTAAATACGTAGGAAGAGAGACTGGATCAAGGAACATACACACATGAACAAGCTTCATAAAAATATTAATGGATTTGATAACATTGTTGACACACGTAAAGTTATTATCCAACACACACGATAAAACTCAATGCTACATCAGAAGCTGATTAATTGCCGACATGTCATAGCCATTGAGCATTGTGCAGCACAATCACGGGCGGGAGACAACATATATTAATATTCTTGTGCTCTATACACTTGGTGCCAAGTCAAGAAACCGTGGAGGTACCAAAAACTGAACAAGCATACTAGCCACATTTTGTCATCGTTGGTTGGAAGGTTGGATACAAGATAGAAGAATGGAGGATATGTATACTGGAATATAACTCTATTGAGAAGCAACACTTGATACAAGTCCAGCCCAAACTTCATAGGAATGATTTTTCTAGCGAACTACTCCCCCTGTATCTAAATATAAGTCTTTTTACAGATTTCAATATGGACCACATACGAAACAAAATGAGTGAATCTATACTCTAAAGTATGTCTATATACATCCTTATGTAGTTCTTATTGATATCTCCAAAATACACTTATACTTAGGAATGGAGGGAGTACATGGTCACCTATATCACGATATAATTCTATAGCAAAGGGTTAAGCACCTTGTTCGCAAGATTATTATCGGGGCGGAGTCAAAGGGTTCCATTCTGGTTTAGCTTACTTGTGTTGCGAATTCTATATTTATACTGCTCCCTCCATCAGGAATTAGTTGACGCTCAAGCAAATGTATCTAGCACTAAAATACGTCAAGATACATCCGTTTGAGCGCAACTAATTCCGAAACAGATGAAGTATCTATCTAGGTATCACTAAAACCTGTCACAGCCCCAGGTTTCAACAGCTATGTCCATCTATTTAAGTCCATAACATGTCAGAAATAACCACAAAAAACACAACACTAGGTCTGCACAAAAAACATTAATCTCGGTCTAGTTTATCCTAGTGAACATCTTAATTTGGGAATTAGGTATTTGATGGGCCGAACAAAGAATAGACACATTGGAACACTGGTATACATCTCTGTAAAATTTCATGACAAAATACTCCCTCCGTTCCAAATTACTCGTCGTGGTTTTAGTTCAAATTTGAACTAAAACCACGACGAGTAGTTTGAAACAGAGGGAGTACATTTTAGTGTGAGCAGTAAAAAAAAAACCTTGTATTTCTAACACATGTGCAGTATTCATTAAAGAAGTTGGGGTAACACTGACTGAAGAGAAGCTTGTCCAAAATCGTCTTAGATGGTTTGGGCATATTCAGCGCAGGCATCCAGAAGGATGGCTAAAACGTGTTGATAATGTAAGAGAGGGCGGGATAGACCAAACTTGACATGAGAGAAGTCCGAAGGACTGAAATATCAACGAAGAACTAGCCATGGAAAGGGGTGCATGAAAGTTAGCTATCCATATGCCAGAACCATGAGTTGGTTGCGAGATCTTCAGCTCAAGCTACCCCGACTTATTTGTTGTTGTTGTTGTTGTTGTTGAAAAGATGCAGTCCATGTGTATTTTTTTCAGATTTTTTGGAACTTCAAAATATGACTTTCCGAATTTTGAAAAAAGACCTGCATGGAGCTCGAGCTAAAAAATCCACTCTCCTCATGATACATGCATAAAACACATACCTTCTACAAAAAAAAGAAATAGTTTAGGTTCACTCGCCAAAGCTACAAAAATGCTACATCAGACTTCCCACGAGTAAAACTCATTTGATGACTCATGGCATTTTATCTCCTACCAGCTTATACAAGACTACAAAACCAGTTCTAGGAAGCAATTAAACTCAGCGTACAAAAAACAACAAATTCAGTTTCACACGCCAAAGCATAGCTCCATGACAATCCTTGACATGTAAAGGGAAATTTATGAGTCATCAATGCTCTGCTGATGCCGTTTATATTACCAATTATCAATTAGTAGAACGATACAAAACCAGTTTTCAGAAAACAGTAAGATGGAGTGCTGGACATGCCAATCTGATTTATATCTAACAACTTGTACAAGACAACAAAACTGATTTCGCGAAAAAGACACAATCGAGATATACACTTGACATGTAAAATGATCAGTGATGAGTCATATGGATTATCGAGGTCAGGCGCAAGCTGACTGATATCTACACGATATGTGCTGAAAAGTATATTTGACGACCATCCAAGATTGGACTTGTAGCGCCACCTAACACAAGAGTGTGAGATGATCAGTTGGAAAAGCACGCAAAAGCTTTAGCATAGGAACCTAGGAATGCAATGCACAACATGATGCCATGGCAGCTATAAATAGGCCTGCACCATGAAGACCCTCCCTCATCACCCTTCACACAAACATAAACACCAAAGCAAGCTTATAGCCAGCCACCATGAAGACCATGTTCATCCTCGCTCTCCTCGCCTTCACGGCGACAAGCGCAGTTGCGCAGCTGTACACTACCTGTAGCCAGGGCTACGGGCAATGCCAGCAGCAGCCGCAGCCACAGCCGCAGATGAACACATGCGCTGCTTTCCTGCAGCAGTGCATCCAGACACCATATGTCCAGTCACAGATGTGGCAGGCAAGCAGTTGCCAGTTGATGCGGCAACAGTGCTGCCAGCTGCTGGCCCAGATCTCGGAGCAGGCTCGGTGCCAGGCCGTCTGTAGCGTGTCACAGATCATCATGCGGCAGCAGCAAGGGCAACGTTTCGGCCAGCCTCAGCAGCAGCAAGGGCAAAGTTTCGGCCAGCCTCAGCAGCAGGTTCCGGTTGAGATAATGAGGATGGTGCTTCAGACCCTTCCGTCAATGTGCAGCGTGAACATCCCACAATATTGCACCACCACCCCGTGCAGCACCATCACCCCCGCCATCTACAGCATCCCCATGACAGCTACCTGTGCTGGTGGTGCCTGCTAAGATCTGTGATGTGCTAGCTAGATCGATCACCGTTTAGTTGATCGATGAAGAGTTACAAAATAAAAGTGCCATACATCATCATGTCTGGCCAGTACTATTGCAACTTGGAAACAACAGACCTCTGTTTCTGAATAAAGCTTTTGTCCAAATAAAATTGCATGTTTTACATGATAAATGAAATGTCAGAAGCCTCTCACCTCACTGAACCTTCTTACATGGTGGAGTTTCGGTCAGCCTCTGCAGCAGGTTCAGTTTGAGATAATGAGCATGGTGCTTCACACCCTCCCATCGATGCGCAGCTGATACATCTCAGATTATTGCACCACAACCCCCCTACAGCATGCCTGGCCACTACCTGTGCTGGTGGTGGCTGCTAAGATCAGTGTTGTACTGCTGTGCTAGCTGGATCGATCAGTGCTCAGTTGATTGATGAAGCGGTGACAAAATAAAAGTGCGATACATCACCCTGTGTGCCCAGTACTATTGCGACTTGGAAATAACAAACATCTGCTCCTGAATAAAGCTGTTGGCCGAATTTGCATGTTCTGTACGGTAGAAGAAATCTTAGCAGAATCTTACTGGAATGAACCATCACTCTATACTGTATGCCTCCCATTATATCAAAAGAAATTCAAAACATGAAAGAAGAAATAATAGAGGCACAAGGAACATATGAAAAGAGACTACATCAAAGAGCACACAGCCACAAACATGTATATAAAGAGTTACTGGATTCGAAACAGTGTTTGCATATTCAGAATGTGCTTTCTTGCCCAGTCACAGAATTAATGTCAACCAAGCTGCTACATAAGAATTCGATTAATCCCCATAGAGCCAGTGCAGGACAATCACTTCCTGGAGACAATACAGATAAATATTTTTCTACACAACACATTTGCCAAGTCAAGAAACCATGGGAGTTACAGAACCTAGCGGCTAACTGAATAATATAAAAGCAGGAACCGACAGACTGGCATTGTGAAAGACTACGAAAAGCCCTGCAACTGCAACAAGCAACGATGACCAATCACTGGTCAACCCCGTAGACCAAACTGGGAAGCACCCAGAGGCTATTTAGTGGACTGCAATGGGCAGTGGCTGCGGAACTGAATGACATACGGTGAGTCGAGCTGGGCACCGGCTGTCCAACCTCTATTGCAGTCCATGGCTCATCAAAATCTTCTGATTTTGTTGGAACATAAATATAGTTACTCTTTCCACCCCATCTTTCAGGGTTCATGCAAGAAAGTGTAGGGTTTCTCCTATCATTGGTAAGGAAGAGAGCCCAATTGTCCAACTTATCCATCTTCACCCACTTAGCTGGTTCAACTGAGAAGTCGAGGCGGAAGACTTGAAAGGTGCCAGGAAAGCCAAACAGTTGGTCCATGCTTACCGAGAGATCTACCAAGAGAAGCATGTCACCACAGACCACCAACCATGGCTTAGAATGCAGGCCTACGAGCATGCTCTGTTCCCACATAACTGCTACTTCCTGCATGCTGAGCTCAGGTGCTATGTGTATGGTATGTAGCCTTTGAACAAAGTCCATGGCAAACATCTGGCCTTTGAAGAGCACAATCTGATGGATGAGTTCACCAACATGAGGGTGCTCTGTCCAGGAATTTGTTCCAACCTGCCACTGGAGCATGGAGATTCTCGAGAAAAGGATGAGACGTGAATTGGGCGAATTTAGTGGAGCCGTAAGGATGCCAAAGTAGATCAAAGTGTTACTCTCAGATTGGAATTTTGGCGGCTTCACCTTTGTGCCAGTGTACACATCGACGAGATGGCAGTGTCTCCTATCAGAGAAGATAAGATAACCATATGAGCAGCCCAGATAGCGCATGGGATGTGGAGTAATTCCAGGCGCTGAACAACGATGGGATAAACTTTTCTTAGCAGGATCAACAAGCTGCGATTTGCGATCAGAGTTGTAACTCTCTTGGCTTACATCTGGTTTGAGGTGGAGGGGTGGGAAGCTGAAGGTATATGCAGATGGGAAGGAAGAGGCTGCAGCATGCCATGAGTGACAGGTGCCGCGGAAAGCAAGCAAGTCATGGAATGAGCTAATGAGAGAAATGATTTGGTGGAGCAGGCTGTCTAGAAGGTTTTCCCAGGCATGAGATCCTGACGAAGGTGAGGAAATAGATCCAGAGGCATCACAGATTTTCTTAGAGGGCCTTGCTGCAACAGCAACTTCCCTGTCATGGAGAAAATTCAAGGGTCAGAAGAAAGAACTCAAATATAACAGAGATATAGCTAGTAATTTATTAGAAATGTGGTATATATGTGACAGAGGAGGTTGGATTGGATTTCCAGTATATATGCTCTTACTACACACTAAGGCAAAAAAGCATGACAGTTTAACTGAACAAAATTCATTCCCATCGTGAGATGTATATATCAATAATTCAATACGAACACCGATGGTTCCTTCGTTGAGGCTACGGGGCAGGGACGTGCTGGTGCTTTGGCAAGGGACCATAATGGCGTGGTCTTGCTTTCTACCTGGAGAAAGAGAAGCCTGTGTTCTGAGGCAGAGGAGGTTGAAGCTGTTCGATGTGGTGGTTGGTTTGTCTCCGTCAGTTATCTGAAGTTTACAGGGCGGCTGGTTGTGGGTGAAACAGACTGCACGGCCTTGTGGGAGGTACTGTCAAATAATTCTGAGAACAGATCCTGCCGGAACTTCTACTACAGTAAGACAGATAGACTGACAGAGTGCAGGCTGCGTATATAGGATTGCAATGCCCACCTGCCCGCAAATTATTGTAGAACAAACTATCGCCAAGGAACAGACAAGTAAATTAAGTTTCCCATTCGATTGTAACAAGCGCATATCAATATGCTAAACTTTAACCAGAACAGGCTACATCAGGATCACCTACAGCATGATATTCTGTACAACAGAGTATTGTCCTTAATGTGCAACCACCCTATGGTATATAATTGTTGTGTTCAACCACTCTAGGGTGTAATTTCTTGGACGAGTTGCAAACAATTTTACTGTTCAGAGTTCCCAGTTCCCCTATGTACAGTACAGTACAGATCTCGTGGCCAACAACAATTTCACGCAGGATGTCAGGAGTCAGGACATGCAGCAACAGGGAGTACTAGGCTAGATCTGTTCAATAAGCTTTGGAATGAGAAATCGACGAGATAAGCAAGGCTAGGGTAAGGGCGAGGCGAGCGTGCTCACCTGGAGGAGCTGAGGCTGGCTGGTGCCGGCGGCGGCGAGGGTTCGGCGGCCTGCTGCGGCCGCGTTCTCCCGCGACGGCAGCGGCGCCGGTTCCCGGCCATGTGCGCGCGTACTGCGGCGTCCCCTCAACCAGCGGCTCCGGATCTGCGCCGCCTGCTGGTCGTCGGCGAGCGGCGGTGCTCGTCTCCCACTTTTTTGGCCGGTGGAGAGACGTCTGAGAGGAGGTGGACTTTTTCCAGTTTAGGCCAGCGTGTCGGCCTTTAATGCTAGCATGGGCCAGCCCAAGCACGGTACAGGGCTGAGATAGTAGGGCCATGTTCGGTCCCCCAAAACGGAAGCGGCTGGCTTGCTTCGTTCCTTTGTTTTCGTTGATTTTTTATTTCAAATAAGTACAAATATAAATATCTTAAAATTAATCTACAGATTTTTCTAAAAAACTTAGAGCATCTCCAACAGCCGCCCAATGCCTGGCGCCCAAAAAATGGGTTTACAGCGCGCAAGTAGTTTTTTTAGGGCGATAGAAGACGTTTGCTCCAACAAGCGCTGTAAAATATGCAGCGCGTGAGTCCAGCGGTCCCATCTGCAGCAGCCCAAAGTTTACAGCGCGCGCGACCGAGCGCACTAAATATGTTGCACGCGATGCCTTTTTAATGCGCGTGCTGCATTAGTTATAGCGCGCGCGCGCTTTTTGTGCGGCTTCTGGAGACTTTAAATCAGGTCCGCGCGCGCTAAAAGCAACTTTTATACCGCGCGTCGCTTATATAGCGCTTCTGTTGGAGATGCTCTTACGTACGATTAAAATTATTTATGTAATGTAAAAATTGTTTTTGTGTTCAAAAAAGATATTCATACCATTCATAAAATTGTTCATGACATAACAAAATGTTCACGTGTTTCAAAAATATGCTCGTCACATTTTAGAAAAATGTTTATATAATGTAAAAATGTTTCACTTAGTTTTGAAAAAATGTTTTGTATCATTTGAAAGATATTTTCCTCGCATTTCTAATTTTGTATTTATAATCTTAATCCACAGGGCACGCCCCAAAGTCACCTCGGTAACCCTGAAAATTATACTAATCATAATTCATAGAGTCACCCCAATGCGAGTACCGATATCTTCGAAAATTATACTACATATGCATCATATAATCTCATTGTTTCCCGAAAGATTCGATCCTACTTAAAGAAACTCATAGCATGAGCAAAATCCAATTCATTACAACGAGAATAGAAGGGATAGATCACATAGTTCGACTCCATTAACAAGCCCATGATAACAATCAAGGTTGAAAACTGATCAAAAGAGTGAGATAAAACATATTGCTATTGGTACAAATGCTCAACCATGAGAGTGGGCTATAAAATCGCATCACCATAGGAGTAGCAAGATGATGGAGAGGTTGACGAGGATCAATTCGACCCTTCGGCAGGGTGCCAGAAAAGGGCTGAAGAAGATCGCTTCAGATCCAGAAGTGTCGTTGATAGAAAAAATGTTAAAATCTTTCAAGCATTTTTAGTATATGTAGAGCGAGGGGGGCGAGAGGCGGCCGGGAGGAGGTCAAGGGGCTCTGCGCGCCCCAACCCTAGGTTGCGTCATGGGTCCATGCGTTGGGCTGGTGCCCCCCCCCCACCCCAGGTGAGCTTCTAGCTCAAAGTCTCTTTTGGGTTGAAAGTTCAGAAAAAGATTCTTATTTCAATTTTTTGGTCCTAAAAAAAATTACTTATGCAAATTCCAAAAACACGCAGTACTGACACTGGGCACTTGCTTAATAGGTTAGTCGAATAAAGTAATAAAAAGTGATGCCAAACTTATGCAACAGTGATACAAAAATAGCATGGCACAAGAAACCAATTATAGATACGCTTGAGACGTATCAACCCCTGCAGGGTTAAAACTTTTCGAATAGCCATGCCCGCAGTTATGTGACTACTTGATCTATGCTTGATCATATACACCATTAATGGTTACCTTAAAAACTATCAAGATAATCCTAAGTATCTTTTTTTTAGAATTAAGCCTAAGTATCTATAATTGCTTCCGCATGGGTGAGTCGAGAAATTATGCATGTTGGTGTATTGATGTGGTGATTATGCTAGATGCTGGACTCATGTGTGCTCTCCTACCACCTTGAATTGCTTCCGCATGGGTGAGTCAAGGAATTATGCATTTTGGTGTATTGATGTGGTGATTAAGCTAGATGGACTCATGTGTGCTCTCTTACCACCTTGAATTGCTTCCGCGTGGGTGAGTCGAGGAATTATGCATGTTGGTGTATTGATTAAGCTATATGAAGGACTCATGCGTGCTCTCTTACCTCTGTTACAAATCTACTTGTAGTCCTAGGTCAGAGTAGCCAAGGTTAAAGCTGGCGCTTCTGGAAACTAATCCACATACCTTCTCTTGACACCCAAAGCATAATGTAGCTAGTTCTAATGTAAGGCTTGCCAAGTACATTTGTACTCACACTTGCTTTTAATTAACTCACTGCAAAGGAGATCATCAATCTCAAATGTTGGTTCATACATGGAGATAAAATATTGACAAGTAGCTTGGAGGCCCCAAATGCAATCTAGTATCTTGGGAGCGTGTTGCTTTACTTTAAAGCCTCTTAGGTTGTTTGTTAAACTTATTCTTTACTAAGACACAATTTGCTTTAGTTGTGTGCTTCTATGTGTGTTGAGTTATGTGACCGTAGCCTGTAATAACTTTTTTATGTTTGCTCTTTAGAGCTTTTGGATAATATATGCTTTGAGTTGTAGAGTTTGTGGTGTGATACATGTTATTTATACACACACATAGCATGATGCTCATATGATTATAAAGGTCACAACTCATAAGAAGACGAAGACAAGCGTGAAGATGGATGTGCACCAGTTAAGTTGAGTTCTTACATGAGGTCATGCATTTGGTCTGCATGTAGGACACTAAGATGTGGCAGCATGGTTGGTAGTCTTGATGATGTGCTGGTTCCAAGTCGATGAGTCAAAAGTTTGGATTAGGAGGTGAATGTTGAAGACTTCAAGTAATCCAAATTGCCTATGTGCTAGTACTACTAAGTTGTGTTTGATTTTGGTTTAACATGTAAGTGATTGCCATGTAATTAGATTAAGTAAGTAAATTTGAGTCCATTCAAGAGTAGTAGTATAGTCCTATCCTAGTAGTACATGCACAGATACATGCATGTTTAGTCTACGCCGGTTTATGCATGTTTAGTAGACATCAGTTTAGTTTGTGTCCGTGCATGTCTAGCGCTTAGGGTCAGGTCCGCTGGCTAGGTGTACAACTTGGTCCTACATATACATGGGTGTGTGCATGAGTGTTGTAACAAGAAAATTGAGAAAAAATAAAGAGAAATCACAGAGTACGAGACGTGCCCTCGACTAGAAGTTTTGTGTGCATGTGTTTATCGAATCTTATGTGAAAGGTCCTTGGAAAAATTCAAGAAAGCGAGTTAGGACCTCGTCTCAACACGACGTTTTCTCTTTTACCCCGACATGAAGGTTTCACGTTTCACTACATCGGGTATCTCTTCTTGAGCATCAAAATGACTGAATGCATCTAAAAAAAGATCTTATATATACCCATGTATATATCGTGACCATTTCAACGTTAAGATCAGGCCCACCCAACCCAGTGAACAATAGAATTTGCTTTTGACGAAAAGAAGGGCTTGGCAGCTTGAGTATGGTTGGGCTTAGCAGCAGATATCAACCTTGGAGGATTACAAACTCATAGCTCATGATGCATGCGTACATCCTGTACAAGATCAGTTTCACAACATCGGAGCATAGCTCCATGGCAATCCTTGACATGTAAAGAGCATCCTATGAGTCATGCCGTGCTCTAGTAATGCATGTTTATCTTACCAATCCATGTAACATTACAAAATCAGTTCCAGGGAACAATTAATCGAGTAAAACATGGAGTGTGTGAATGTAAAAGCTAATTTATACCTAACTCATGTACAAGATTACAGAATGGGTTTTGCAAAAAGATGTGCGACCCAAACTATGCTTTACATATAAAGTGACGATTGATGAGTCATATGCAGGTGATATGCACCGAAAAGTAAATTTGATGATCATCCAAGATTAGACTTGTAGTGCCACCTAACACAATAATACGAGATGATCATTTTAAAAAGCATGGAGTCTGTGAATGGAAAAGCTAATTTGTACCTAACTCATGTACAAGCTTACAGAATGGGTTTCGTAAAAAGATATGCGACCCAAATTATGCTTGACATGTAAAGTGATGATTGATGAGTCATATGCAGGTGATTTGTGCCGAAAAGTACATTCGATGATCACCCAAGATTAGACTTGTGGTGCCACCTAACACAACAATACGAGATGATCAGTTTAAAAAGCACCCATTTGCTTTTGTAAAGTAATATAGGAATGGAATGCAACAAACTAGACCATGACAACTATAAGTATGCATGTACCACGAAGCCCCCCCCCCCTCCATCAACCTTTAGACAACCACAATCAGCAAACCAACTTGAGGCTAGCCACCATGAAGACAATGTTCATCCTCGCTCTCCTCGCCCTTGCAGCATCCACCGCCATTGCCCAATTGGAAACCATTTGTAGCCAGGGCTTCGGACAATGCCAACACCACCAACAATCGGGGCAACAACAGTTGCTGGATCAGATGAAGCCATGTGTGGCTTTCGTACAACATCAGTGTAGCCCAGTGAGAACACCATTCCCACAAACACAGGGAGAGCAGCATAGCAGTTGCCAAACCGTGCAACACCAATGCTGTCGGCAGCTAGTGCAGATCCCAGAGCAAACCCGGTGCAAGGCCATCCAGAGCATGGAGGAGGCTATCATTCAACAACAACCCCAACAACAATGGAAGGGGCCCCAACAGCAAGCACAACTTAAGAGCATGAGGATGTCGCTTCAGACCCTGCCGTCTATGTGCAACATCTACGTCCCGGTACAATGCCAGCAACAACAACAACTGGGGCGACAACAACAACAACAGCTGCAGGAGCAGTTAAAACCGTGTGCGACATTCCTACAACATCAATGTAGGCCAATGACAGTGCCATTCCCACATACACCAATGCAGAAGCCTACAAGCTGC